GTGTGACCATCCAAAGCCAAATGCCAACACAAGCAGTAATTATGTTCTTTGCTTCGTTTTCAACCCCATCTCAAGTGGAAGCTCTCTTCTTATACTGTGAGTGGCAGCTTGATACGGTTGTAGGCAGTGCAAACTCACCTCTGTCTGATCCGTTCACGGTTATAGGCTGGGGTACATCACATCTCCCGGGACCCTGGAAGAGGAAACGGGCAGCTCGGAGGCCCTGTTGTCCTCCTCGGCACTCAGCAAGCTGCCAGCACTGCTCTGCTAAACCTTCCCTTTCCTTGCATAAATAATGCACTCTCTTTCTTTCGGAAAACTTTTTTCCTGGCTCCTCCTGTGTGTCTTCAGTTATTCTGGCTCTGCTACATGAGATGAAGTAAAAAAAAAACAAAACCCAAAGAGAGCAAGAAACAGAGAACAGAAACTGGGAAGTCAAGCGCTACAAATAAAGGGCAGAACAGGAATTGCAACTGGAGCCCAGAGCTTTGGTTGCCAAGTGCAGGAGCTGAGTGGGAAAAGAAAGTTACAGTTCACTAACAAAGAGCACATTTAATTTCCCCTTCTCGATTTTCACCAAGATGAAATTTGCTTTCTCTGTGTGTGTGGAAAGCAACTGTTGCAGGGAACATTTACAAAGCAAAACTGTTTGTTTCCAACATATCCGTGGAAAAGGAACAGTCCAAAAGGAAGGGAACTGACTAAAATCATGTTTCCACAGCAGATTTGACTTTTTTCTGTTTCTTAATGCTGCTGTCAGGAACTGGGAGCTGAGCTCTGTGCAGAGAATGCAGAAGCAGCCTCCAGCTCTTTCTTGGTGTGGTTTCTTGGCTGGGGAAAGCCCTTGCTGTCAGGCAGCAGAACCTGGTTAGTGGAACGTGGGAACTGACTGGTGGGAAACCTGCACGTTAGGGGCTGTCAAACTGCGCAACATCAGCACATCACCCTAGGTGGTATTTTTATTCAAATATATAACGCTAATTCATGCTAGTGGTTGGGGGTATGTTTGATCCTGGGAAAAGAAAACAAGTGTGAAACCATGGGCTGGATGAAACATGGACTAGAAAGTATCGCTGGTGAACAGCTATCAGAGAGACCAAGCGCAGGCTGCGACCACTTGTTTGAGTGTGCTTTGCGGCGAGATGTACCTTCAGCACCCCAGGTTAACCTGGTCAGATCTCCTTGCCCCATGCAAGGAGCAAGGCTGGAGGGACGCTGCCTGACCTGGGGGAGGTTCGCACCCACTGTGCCAAAGCATGCAGCCCCTGCAACCTGGTGCTTTGTCCTTGTGATGGTGGTCCCTTCCCAGACCTTCTGATGGTGGGTTTTCAACCAGAGGGATATGGGTTGTCAGTTCCTGTGCTGGGCAATTTGGAGGTTGTGTGATGGGCAGGCGATGAGAGAAGGAAAGCCTCGATGGTGTGAAAAAGCCAGTCAGTGGCTCTCCTCCAGCATCCCCTGTCCGCCTGTCCTGTTTTGAGGTCCCCATCCCCATGGGGCTGGTTGATGACAGCCAGGGAGCAGGCAGCCATGCTGCCCCACATGGGCAGGAGCTGCAGCTGAGCGGAGTGGGGTAGAAAGGAGGTGGGAAGTATGAGAGTCTCACATGAGTGTTTTTTCTACCCCCAGTGCCAATTTCTACGGCTTTCAAAGGTGTTAAAAGACTAATTATGTGACACGCTGCCAGGAGCTTGGCCACAGCTGCTGTAAGCAAAACCAGCAATTTAATTAGAAAAGAGGCAGGTTCTCTCACATGCATCATCTCTGCTTGCTTATTTCAGACTGCCTGATCTATCTGCTCCATGGTGCTTCTTAGTTCACTGTTAGAATGAAAGATTAGTCTATTTTATATTTCTTTTCCTCTTTCCCCTCTGCTGCTCCTTTTGCCAGTGCCTGCTCTGGTCTTTGCTTTAATTTCAAGCAGCAAACAGAAGCCTTTTTGCCTGAGGCCTTCCCATTTCCCAGCTCTGTCAATGCAAATCAGTTCCCACCCTGGTGCTGATGGACTTGGTGTGGACCTTGGCCTCTCCCATCTCACTCCTTATTTTGAGAGGACGGAGCATCTCCCACCTCTGCCAAGGGAGTGCAGGCCTCTTCCTCCAAAAACTGGGGCACTGAACACCCCCGGTTAGGGAAGGTAACCAAGGGCTTTCCCACCCCATGGCCCAGGTGAGGACTCCACTCAGTCCCCAGCAGAAAGAAGTGTTTCCACAGGGCTTCAGTCTCATGGTTTTAATAACGGCAGCAGCACGCTTGGAGAGTTGTCAGTGGTGATAAACTCAGTCCCATTCTGTTTCAAAATTGGTTTAAGAAAGATGCCTGGCTGTTTAATATTTAAGCTAGATGTTTAATGTTTAAACAGGGAAATTGTTCTGATTGTCAGAAAGGGCATTAAAGCAGGATGGAAACTGGTCTATAATGTCTGACAAACGCTGCCCTTTCTCTGCAGCAGCGTGGTGCCTGGGAGCTGCAGGAGTTTCAGAAATGCCAATTTTAATCAACCTCTTTCATTTCATTTGCTGCTTACCACTCTGACAGCAGTGAGGCGTGCTTTTTCCCTGTGAAGTGAGGAACACTGTACCTGGCTCTGTTTAACAGTTTGCGACCAGTTCAGCTGAACTGAACTTGCACTTCAAAACCTACACAAATCGCAACAGAAATGTGTGTGGATAGGGTGAAGAGTGAAGCTGGACACTGCTGGCTCACTGGTGTATTCCAGCTGATTTGGGGTCCTTTGTGTATGTGCACACAAAAGCTGTGAAATTCAGATGTTGAGTTTGAAGTCAGCACAAAAACGAATGGCTCTGCCACAAATATATGTATGGATGAATATTTTGGAACAGATATGGACAGTGTTTTTCAGGTGGTGGATATATCCCCCCAGTTCTGCACCATTTCACACCACAAAAGGCTTGTCAGGAGCGAGCCTGTGCTCCCTCCCTGAGCCCGTGGGCAGGCACCGTGGCTGTGCAGAGCTGCTTGCACAGGGCAGTCCTACCGCACAGGAATCCCTGCTAAGGAAGAGGTGGAGCTGGGGAGAAACTATTCCACAGGGAGCCCTTGAGTCAAACAACAATCTGTGTTAGTCACTTTTCCTCCCTTTAAAATGTTCTTAAGGTGAATGCTAAATTGACCTGTCAAATGAGCTGTCAAAAATCCTGTAAATATGCATTTAATACTACAGTTTAGTGTGTTTAAAATCCAACACTGCTGCTTCTTACTGAGACTATTCTTTCCCTTCCAGTGAAGGTAATTTGAAGTGCATGTGTAAGTTCAAGGGAGATGGGAAAGCTGAAGCTGAAAATGTAGATAGGCTTCTTATAAATAATGTGTTCAGGCTTTTTCCTCCCTGAGAAACTGGTAGTGGCTGACTGATCCCACACAGAATGATTGTGAACAATGAACGAAATAGCTCAGGAGACATCTTCTGTCTGTACAACCTTTTCTGTGTGGTGCTTAATGCTGGCACCATGAGCATCTGCTCACATCTGGTGACAAGGGGCTGTGTGAAGATCTCCTTCTCTCTGGAACTGGCTTCTGGTTTGGAGCCCACCAGCATCCAGGCTGAGATGGGTCTGCACTTGCGGTGTCTACAAGCCTTTTGTACAAAAAATGTGAGACGAGATATGAATGTGGAGCGAAGTCATCTTGGATAGGTAGGTATTTCTGTTGGTGTATACATATGGATCATATCAAGCAGAGCAAGGGTTTGGTGGCTGCTGCGTGTGATGTGCCCAGTGGTTTAACACACTAGAGAAACACCACCTTCCACAAACTCACAAAAAATGACTCGAGCAAGAATCTGAAGAAAAGTTTATAGAAGAGCTCCTCTTATCAAGGTTTCAGGACTATTGAAAGGCACATTTCACCCGTGATGAATGACAGTTGAGTACATGGACACATACAATGCTCATATTTTATGGCAAAAAGACCGCATAACGATGGTATGTGGCAAAACATATATTCCAGACTTCAGTTAAACACTAAAGTGATTATTTTAAGTGTGTCATGTACATAACAAAAGCAGAATAGGCAGATGCATCCAATTACTGTAATTTACAAGGCAGTAATTCAAGCCCCAGATGTATTTCTCCATATTGGAGGAAGGCGGTACAGATTACAAGCAAAACGAGGGGCAGCAAATAGGCAGGGAGCCAGGAAGCCGCCGCCATTTGGAAAATAACAACTAGCACCTGCTGCAAGCCAGAGGAGCTTTAACTTTGCTAACTCATTTCACCCCGCTCCAACAGTGACCGGCCAGGCTGGATTGGATGCGCTTGGGCCAGGAAGCGACCGAGAGCCGCACCGTGGCCATGGCCATGACGCACTGACGCAGGCACCCTGCAGAACAGATAAGCATGGATGTTTGCTCGGTAGCAGGCAGAATAAAGTCCACTCGTTCTTCCTCTCTCTCCGTTTAGTGAGCTGCTTCGTGCTAATTATCTCTTTTCAACCAGCTCGTGGTTAGGTTTCATGTTGTGACGATTAATAATTAATCAAATGCATTTGAAAATTAAGTTGGCAATTCTAGGTCTGATTGGCATGTTAATCTCTTCCGTGCAGCAGGGATGTTATAGGAATAACCTCGGATATTCTGAGCCGCTAACCGAGGTGAATACATAAAGGTATTTATTACCTTGTGTGGTTAAAAAATAAAGTAGCAAGTGGAAATGAATGCATACTCTCAGCCTCTGCCTTTCAGGAAAGATGTGAGCTGCATTTTGCCTTCCCTGTGCTAGGAATATGCTATCAATATTATTATGTCCAATCAAAATAAAAGGCAAATTTGAAAAACGCCCCCACAGTTGATTTTTTTCTGTTTTGCTAGTAGCAATGGCAGTAGATTTGATACATTAATTATGGTACTAAAAAGAAAAATCAAAAGGAGACCAACTTTTGCTCTTTCCAGCTCTCCATGCCACTTCCCTCCAAAAAATAACACTCATCTGGTAAAAGTGAAGAAGAGGGAGTACGCAGCTTCCACTGCTGTGTGGTTCCCACTAGTTTCGCATTAGTAGTCCCTTTTTATAGGCAAACAGCCCTGCAGCAGCCACAGAGGTGAAACACAGGGTAGAGCTAAGCAGGCACAGCAGTCCTGGCACGGATGGCAGGTTCCTCTCCCAGAAGCTGGTGGTGAACGGTCGGGCTGGGACATCCTAGGGGAGAGAGGAGATGGTGCCACCGCAGGGTCTCCCTCACCACAGGAGTGGGGAGGCAGCAAATGTCCCCCACTAGGCTGGGGAGATCACAGATTCTTCCCGAGAACCAGATCAGGGAAGGGAAGGAGGGCCAGGGCTGTGAAACACAGATTTTCTGTTGTCCACTGGATAGCAAAGGTGGTGTTACTTGTGACTGGAAGGAGGTTATATTTGGCTTAAAACCATGGCCTGGGACTAGGCAGAACTAGCCTGATTTCCTGCATTTTGCACTCCTCCAGGCTCCAAGATCCTTGCCCCTGGGTCTTGTCCATCCACCCCTCAGACAGAGGTAAGAATATTCCTCAGATGAGTCAAATAATAAATAAATACCATCAGCATGTGAGGTAACCAAAACCTCACCGAAACAGAGACTGCAGCCTGACTGAAGGGTGTGAGCCTGACCAGGTGACAAGAGGAAAGTCTGGCTTACCTTTGACTCTGGCTCTGGCACCCAGATTTCATTTGCTGAGATCTTCCCCATACTGTGCAATATCTGGAAGAAAAAAAATGTTCTGTACCATGTAAGAAAAAAGTTAAAACCCACAGTACTTTCAGTTTTGAAATAGCAGAGCAAGTCAGAGCAAAGTGACATTGATAAAAGGCATAACTATGATTAGCTGAAAGTGCTTTGAGACAGAAAATGTATAGTGATTTCTCTGTTTATATCAGCAAAGAGAGAAGCAGGAGGCAGTTCTGGTAGTTCATGTAAATATAGGCAGCTGGTCCTCAAACAGTCGTGTGCCTAACCAGTGTTTTAAGGATAAAAGAACAGTTTCACAGAGTCATTTGTAAAAAGTAGGACTTCACTCAGAAACACACATGAACTGCAGCTTCTCCAGATGTTTATTTTTTTTCTAAGTAGAAGTAAAAATGCCTTTTCACATGATGGTTTGAGAAATGGCAAGGTGAGGTTACTGCCACACACTCGGGATGCAAAGCCTGTAAGGAGTGATGTGGCTTGGATCACAAACTAGAAAAAGGGATACAACTCTGGGGCTTTCAAAGCATAAAATTACAAAGTCCTCTCTTGGCTACTCAGGCAGCACAAAGCTCATCAAGGACTTTTCTTGAGAATAAGCTGATTGTAACAATCACAGAGGTTCTCAGGGGCAAATGAATGTCTCCAGAAGAGACAGGTAACTTTACAAAGACAGTAGTCTTTGTAACTACTGCTCACAGGCATGGAGAAAAGCAAAGAGAAATTAGGTGACTTGAAACAGAGCAAGGAATGAGGATTACAAGGTGAATATGACACTCTGTCAAGCAGAAGCAAAGGACTGAGATACTCCCTTAAATAACAGCTCCATGGCTCTGTCATACAGCAGTTGTAGCTGTAATGTACACCCTTTAATGCTTTTTTCCCCTCCCTCCAGACTGTTGTAAAGGGCTCTCACTGTGACTGGGAACTCAGCCCAATGTGTGTCATTCTGAGGAGATTTAGACATTATCAGAGCTGCCCATTATGAATTCATAAAGCCAAGCTAACGGTACTTGCTCATGAAAGAAGCAGCAGAAGGGATAGATCAAAAATGAGAACAATGCTCAGATTTCCAGACTGCTGCATAGGAAACAGCTGTGAGCATTTGCAATTACTTAAATTACTTTTAAAACATACAGTGATTAATTTGTTAGAAAGTGTGGTAGTATATCTACAGGCAGCATCAGGTTGGAGGGTTCTTTCCTCTAGATACAGCTATACAGCATGAGCTTCGTTCTAAATTCCTAGTGCAGCAACACACTGAGTAATGTTCTGATTTGGGTGAGATTCTTGGCTTCACTTTATTCAATTACAAACTAAGTAAAGTTTAAAAAAAAAACAAGAAAAGGCTTTGGTTCATACCCTTTTCTGGGATTCTTCCCCATCAATTCTAGGAGCCTCTGCACAATTACAGGGTGTGATGAACAACATCAGACCCTTCAACCTGTACTTAATCCTTTCTAACCTTTTAATAGAGATGTTGAAAGCAAACCAACAGTCTGTACCTCTCTGGCTGCTCTCTCTCCTGCCTGTACGGCCCCCTCCATGTATCCACTCCATTGGGTAGCTGTCTCCGTGCCAGCAAAGTAGATTCTGTCAACGGGCTGGCGAATGATCCTTCAAAACAAATGGAGAATGTCAGATAACAAGTAACAGGAAGGTGATGATCCTTCTAAAAGCAATTTATGGGCTTTGATGGAGCGCTCAGCTTCAGTTCTCCAGAATAAAAAAAGGCTGGGGAGCATAGTGCAATAAACTATCCCCACAGGACCACCTACTTGCTTCTGCATGCGAAACTCAAAATCTGAGATAGAGAAAATCTAAGGGATAAATCAGCATGCCTAGTTTCTGTGCAAAATAATATGAGCCTTATTTTAGTGCTAGGATAAGGGATAATCCTAGCAGCCTCCAGAAATGCAGTCCACCTGGTAGATTTATGTCTTCTGCATGGCAGCTTTGTTGTTATCCTGCCATTAAAATGGGATGTGAATGATGTTTCTGCAGTGATGGGTCACTAATACCAGCTTCTGTTTGGAGGCTGGACTTGTTTGCAAGTCCTGCCAAAAGGGGATGGCAGCTGAAGGCCTCAGCATTCACAGAGTTGCATCTGCGCCATGGGGTCGCAGAATCACAGAATCGTAGCCGTTGGAAGGAATCTCTGAAGATCATCCAGTCCAACCCCCCTGCGAGAGCAGGATCACCTAGACTAGGTCACACAGGAACGTGTCCAGGCAGGTTTCGAATGTCTCCAGAGAAGGAGACTCCACAACCTCTCTGGGCAGTTTATTCCAGTGCTGTTATCCTCACAGTAAAGAAGATTTCCTTATATTTAGGTTGAACCACCTGTGTACCTTCTGGTGTGTCAGCCACTCCTTTGCCACAGCTTTGTATCATCAGCAAATTTGCTGAGGGTACACTCTGTCCCATCTCCAGGTCATTGACGAATATATTGAACAGAGCTGGACCCAGTACTGACCCCTGAGGAACACCTCTAGACACTGGCCTCCAACTAGACTCTGCCCCACTGACCACCACTCTCTGAGTTCTGCCTATCAGCCAGTTCCCAATCCACCTCACTATCCAACCCACACTTCTTAATTCTGGCTGGAAGGATGTCATGGGAGACTGTGCAGAAAGCCTTGCTGAAGTCAAGGTAGACCACATCCACATCCACATCATAAGAGGCTATCAGATTGGTCAAGCATGACTTCAATAAGTCATATAAGCCAGCCCTTCAGCTCTGCAAAGCTGCACAAGCATCCCGGTAAACCCAGCGACAGGTAATGAGTTCTCTTTCCCACAGAGAACTTCTTGCTCTAAGGGCTCCCATCTAACCCCAGATTAGGTTTTCTCTGTCTGCCTGACACCAGCTTCCTCAGGTCAGAGGCCTCACCCATCACTACCCAAGTGTTCAGACAAATTACTACAGCAGGGGCTGTGGAGGGGATGACTTCTTCTCGCTCACATCTTAGCACAGGGGCAGGGTGTAACTCTCTCATGGGCATGCTAAGGAGCTCACGCTATGATGTGCTACATGGTTTGTCTGGTCTTTGGCTAGGCATACAATATTTGTCTGGTTGTTCCTATTACGTGCTGAACAGCATGCTTTTCAGCAACAAACCTAGCATTAAGCAGTGTTATCTAACATGTTCCTTTGGGAATACAGCAATTCTGCATGCGGAAGGTATGGGAGGCTTTGCTGGGTGGGAGGAGAAAATGAGTTTTCATGTGAGGGTTTTGTGTCTTCCTCTCGTGATGTGACCCAACTGGCTTCACCAGAACCTGGTGCTCCACCTACACAGTCAGTGGAGACTCTTCATCTGTCCAAGATGTGTGCCCTCAAGGCTTTAGAAAGCATTAAAAGGATTTACTGCAAATACTGTGTAGCAACAAATAATATAAGTAACCTACTGGGGAAAGGTTTCCTGGCTCTAGACGATCCCTTTGTGATTATGCTTTGATTCCTTGAAAGTCACAAGAGAAATTCTGCTCCTACTAAAGTCAATAGTGATGTCCTTGGTAGCTGGGGTCAGAAAGAGGGTTGGAGTTCCCCCAGTATGCTACATATCCCATAAGTTTGTTGCATAAAGGATATCATTGTACAAGAGCTAAGAAATGTAAATTAGAGCATTCTAAGCAAAGCATTCTCTGGTTTACCTTCCATAAGAATACATTATGCCTGGTGGGAAGTAGGCTGTGTAACAACCCCCTGAATATTGCTCCATGTTCCAGTTCTTTTCTTCATAATGCACAGGCTGTAAGTATTAGCAAACATTAGAGAGTGACACAGTGGCAAAGAAATTCAAAATAAAAACCAATTTCCGTTGAAGAGGGAAAAAACAGTCTAGGGATACCTGTCAAAGGAGTGCCATGTGATCTGGCTAATGCTCTCCATCTGTACAAAACAAATCTTTGCACTTTTACAGAAGCATTAGCTTCCCATGGGGAAATGACAGGACAAATAAAATCATTCACTGCCCTCGCTTTTCTTGTAAAGAATGAGACTGGCAGCTCTTTTCTTCCTGTACTAGATGCCGCTGCCCTCCCCTTGGCAGTACAGATTGTTCGGCACAACATGCAATCTTAGGTATATATTTCAGGTACCAGGAATTTTGGTTTCATACTCCAGAATAAAGGAGAAACATAACTGTACCACAGAGGTGAAAATAGACATTAATTTCTTACATGTAAAGCCTCTTCCATGCCCATTGCCTTGGCATATGCCTCACAGATCTTCTTCTTCCTACATGAAAATAACATCAGAGTCAGAAAAAAAAGGTGGGGAAAAAAATCTCTCAGCTATTGCTTTTCTTATTAAAAAAGTCACATTTATTGCCATACATTGGAAAGAAAGTTGCGTTTGGCTTTGTCTTCAAGTCTGATTTCAAGTTCTTATCTTAAATACATATTTAAAATGCTGATGCCTAAATATGACATCCAAAACGGACCCAGGGAATGGGAAATGAAGGTTGATTTTGGCAATGAGCTCTGAAAATATAAATCTTTTTACAGTTATTTTAGGACGCAGAGTCAATTCATTCTCATGTTCACTGGTGTAGGACCAGAAGAGAAGCTATATAAATCAATGAAATTCCTACAGATTTACTACAGCAGAGAACAAAATATGAGCTGGAGAATACTCCTCACATTCCTAAGCAGAACTCGTCTTTCACTTGCATGTGTACCAAAACCCACATTTAGAAGGTACTGTTTGTTCATTTCTCTGACTAATGGAGAAACCACACTGTTGTAAACACAAAGGTTTAAAATTTTTATCAGCCAGTCTGAGTGTGAAGGAAACCCAAAACTATGCATGTCAGTGCTCCCCATATCCCCAGGGTGAAGCATCATTCAGTGGGGATACAGTATGAGAATGTCTTCAGAAAAATCATTGCAGTTCACATGGAGACACAGAGCTGGTAAGTCATAACATGGAAAAATGGGCAAGACTCGGAAACTCTGGAATATCCGTAACTGGATGGATATTAGCATTATTGTCTTGGCCTGTTTATGCTAAAAGCTCAAACTTCCCCCCAATTCCAGTATTGGTAGTTGCACCAATCATGTGTATACATGCATATCACACAGAATCACAGAATCGCTCGGTTGGAAAAGACCTCCGAGATCATCATGTCCAACCGTTCCTGTTTACCCACTTAAGTACCTTAAGTACCTCATCTACCTGCTTTTTAAATACATCCAGGGATGGTGACTCCACCACCTCCCTGGGTAGCCTGTTCCAGCTTCTGACGACCCTCTCAGTAAAGAACTTCCTCCTTATCTCTAACCTGAATCTCCCTTGGCACAGCTTGGTGCCATTTCCCCTTGTTCTATCCTCCATCACCTGGGAGAAGAGACCAGGACCCCACTCTCTACAACCTCCCTTTAGGTAGTTGTAGGTGGTGATGAGGTCTCCCCTCAGCCTTCTCTTCTCCAGGCTAAATAACCCCAGTGCCCTCAGCCGCTCCTCATAAGGCTTGTTCTTCAGACCCCTCACCATCCTTGTGGCTCTTCTCTGAACATGCTCCAGAATCAGAGAATATGCATACACCTACACACATATTCCTGTGGGGAGGCATCCCAGACAACTGACTTATTTCTGAAATACTTAAGAGTTTCCGAACTCTTACCTCTCTTGCTTACTGAGATGGGCCAGTTTAACAGCTTTTCTGGTAAGGATAAAACTGAAAAGAAAAATACGGCATATAAATATAATGCAGTGTCAGCACCCCAGCTGATTCGCAAGCTCTTGCTTGAAATGACTCTAAAAAAAGTTGAGCAAAGCACTCTATCGGTATGTAATGGGCTTGACATTTTTTCATCATACCTCATCACTTATTAATTACAGGTCACACGGGTGAAGAGGCCTGTGCAGGGTACCCTGGGGAGTTAATCGAAATGGAGAGAGCACGCATTCCCAGGAGGCAGGTGCAGAGGACTGCCTGGCAGCTATCAGATGAGAAAGCTGCAGATGGCAAGAGTGTTTTCAAAGCTGCCAGCACTGCTTTCATTTTGCTGTGCGGGAGTGAACTCTCCAACCCCACTGACTCAGAAGAGCAAAGTTATACCCAAAGTGGGAAAAAGAAATGAGCATAGCCTGCATTGGCTACCCTTTTATATCTAGGTCTTGTCCAAAAGAACTGAGGCCCCGAGTTTTCTTGAGTTTTTGAAGTCTCACTGACAGCTGGCCCTATCACTGTCCGTGTCATTTGGTGTTAGTAAGTGATGGGAGGTTGCTGCTCTGACAAGCACTGCATAGTGTCATGAATCAGTCCTGTAAGAACTGGAATTAATATTCATTCAGCTTGAAGGAAGTAGATTTGGTGATTAGCTCATCTGACCTTAGTGGAACTACCCAGGGGATTAAGTAAGTTCCCAACAAAGTTGCATAAATCCATAGGAGAGAGCAGGAAACTGTTTGCCATATGGGGTTTGGAGGAGGCTTATTTCTTTCAGGAAGGTCATGGAAGTTTTTAAGCCTTGAACATGCCCATAAACATGTGCAGTTCAGTACAAGTGGCAAGCTTTCCTTGCCAGATACTTAAGGAGTAGTTGCCTGACATTTATATTGGCCTTTTTTTGGCAGTCTCACCTCAGATTACTGAGGAAACATTTGTAAAGATTGTTTGTTCTTGTTGGCTTTAACTATTTTAAAAGCCAGTCAATGCTGTTACATATTTTCCCATCTGTTTGTCCAAACTACAACTTTTTTACTTGGCAGCTTCTTCAGAATCCAAATTTCTTCACTGCACAGCTGCTGCCCTGATCAGCTACCAGCTGATGTTTGTTATCCTGCCTCAGCTCAATGGGGAGAGGAGACAAATGAGGATTTCTTGGACAACTGCATTTTCATTTCAGCCCAGGAGCTAAATACAAGGCCCAACATTAGCCAAATACAGGGTCACAAAGCTAGGTAAGAAACGGATTTATTTCTAAACCTACTCCACAGAAAAAAACCCCCACCCACCATTAACTGAACACTTAAAATGAACTACAGCTGAATTCAGCAACTCCTTCCCAACTATCTCCTTTGTATTAGGCTATTTGTAGCGGAAGCTTCATCTAAAAGCTTATATGGACTCGAGAGGCACAAGAGGCTTGCCAGAAGTGCTCTCTTCCATCTATGAAGACTGTGGGAGCGAGCACCACTAATAACCTGGCCATTTCCCCTCTTCCTCCTCCTCCCACTCCTTAATACAAAAAGAAATACACATCTAAGTATGGGCTAGAAACTCCTAACCCCATAAGGGCAGGGAAAGATCCATCAGGTTTTGTATCATCCATGGTTATTCCAATTGGAGATTCTTCATCCTCAATGACGAAGCAACCACAATAACCTAAGGGAGGAAAAGAAAACAGAACGATTGTCAGAGAAACTTGCTGATATCCATAAAATGAAATGTACAGTAATTCCTTCATCATCAATAATACCTTCATGTCTGCAGTGTTTTTGTAACAGTCCCTCTCCTCTCTTCCCTCTGACTCTGGAAAATTTTGTACACAGACTTCTTCTAAAAGTCACATTTAATTCCATTATTACTTAGCAAAGAATTTCTGTGGACTGTTGCAAGTCCCTTTGTCTTTCCATAGTGGGGGCAACAAACACTAAAAATAAGTGGATCTAGCAGGAACTGTGATGGTTCATTTCATGAGTAACTTTGGCCAAAACAACAGCAGCAGCAGCAACAAAACCCAGTGTAATTACATCTGTTCACCGCAGGCTCAAATTTACACCCTATACTGACTTTGCTGATGATAACACTGTCAGGAATGGTGTCCTGTAACAGTAACGCAGCAGAAACATGGGCTGTCTAATCTAGTATCACATCAGTACATCTTTCAAAAGAAAACACAAAAAATCCCATACAGAGAACGATGTATAAATCTGCCTACATTTCTTTCTAATCCCAGTGGCCAGTTTATGCCTTGAAACATGCAAAAATATATTATTTTGAGTAAGAAATATTCTTGCCCAGTGCAACTCTCAGTGTCATTACACAGGAGGTGGAAACTAAACTGTTCATAAAAACGGTGCTGGAAATGCTATCAGTTAAAGCTGAGAAACACACGGTTTTGCAGCACATGGAAAAGATATCTTGAGTTAAACAAAAAGCTAAGCTACTTTTTCCAGTCCTCTGAGATATCAAGGCTGTAGAACACAGGATTAAAAACAGGGAAAGGTCTTGCTTGCACCTTAAGCTCTCCTTGACATCTGCTGTAAATTCTCTTTGGCTGCCCTACCTCCATTCCTGGCAGGGAGAAGCAGAGAGCTGCTGCTGCAGGGTTGCTGCCTCTGTGCGCTGCAGGTTTCATCAATGCCTACCAGGGAAACCTTGCTTGTTCTCTCAGTTGTCCCTCCTCATCTAGCAAGCAACAATGAGATTCAGGATCCTGTTTGGGTTTGGACTCATCTTTGGGACAAGACATGCACTCAAGCTTGAAGGAAGAGCTCTGCTTTCTAAGGAGCTTTACCTTTCACTTTTCTGTGTGTTTGGTTTGGGGGGTTTGCGCATTTAACCCTCCTATGGATTTATTCCCTGATAGGCAGCACAGCTTCAAAAGTCACGTAGCATGAGACTCCCAAGTCCTTCACTTTCCCTAAGGCTTCCTTGTAGTACATCATGCATTTTATGACACTTCCCAAAGGCAAACGCTGAATTAACTGGTTTCTCTTTGGCGGCAGTTCTGGTTTGTAATGAATCTTTGTTGTCAGGATTGGAGGGATAGCACTGATCACGTACTTGCCCTGAAATGTAAAACACAGTCAGTACCAACAAGGCACTGCCTTTCACTGAGCTCACCCCAAAGGACATATTTGAAAGACACTCTTACTAGTTGTTAACAGCTTTCCCACATCTGACTTAGGTACTTGGCTTTCCCACACAGATATTGCCAGGTGACCAAAATAATTCTACCATTTCACAGAATTACAGAATGGTAGGGATCAGAAGGGATCTCTGAGGATCATCTGGTACTAATGCCCCTGCTAGAGCAGAATAAGGAGCTGGGAAAAACATGTTGTTTTGTGGTTAGATGATTCGCATTAGCTTTCTGGATGCTATAGAACCAGAGTTGAAACTTGGCTGGAGACAGGTTGAAAAATGGGGCAAGATAGATCTTATGGCATAGGTAAAACTGCCTTTTATCATCTCCAGGAAAATATGTGCGACATTTGTCTAACTTATAAGCTGTTAAAAAACCAGAATCACTTTTGTGCATGTTCACAGGATACTACTTCAGGTCAAGCAACGCTGATGGTGATTTCAGCTTTCCTGAACATACTCCATCCCTCTCACAGGTCCTGCATCTGACTGGAGTGAAGAAGGACACTCTATTTCAGGGTTCAGGGTGACACTTTATCACACCAGAGGCTGCTGCTCTCAGGAGGTCTCGTGTTGGCGGGGCTACTGAGTGCAGGAAGGCTGTCTTCTACAACTTGGCTGTCACTCAGCCAGCATGGAGGGAGAAACCAGAAGCTTCACTCCTCCAGGACATCTTAAGACCAGTTTTCTGCCAAATAGCCTCTTCCCTTTCTGCTAGCTTTCTCTAAGTACCTTCCAAACACTGCCACCGGTGAGACAGGGGTGTTGCAGACCCTCATGGTCCTGCACAAACCCTGTGGCAGGCTGGGCTCTGTGGGTGGGTGTCATCGCGGTAATCATGTACTGATGGAGCATTTCACAGTGTCACTGAACAGAGGCAAAATCTTACTAAAGTGTTTGAAATGTCTTTTTTGTTGTTGTTCTGCAAACTACAATCAAATACAAACGGGAATGTTATTTTTCCTTTCTTTGAAATTGTCTCAATGTAGAACTAAAATGTAAAAATATATAATCACAGGAAAAGTTAAGGCAAAAAAGGCAGAGTAATGACAGAAACTAACTAGCAGAACACCAAGAAGAGACCCAGCTGTAAATAAATCTGTAAAGCAGGTTTCACAGAGTGTCAGCATAGTCTGAGAAACAGACACACACAAATGGGTACTTCCTGATTATATCTGGATGAGAGCTACAGCAGATGTATTCCCCCACTAAATGCATATTTTACTTTTATTCTGATCAAATTACCTCATATATCTCATGGTTTAGAGTCTCCACAATGACATTATCACCTGTCTGATCAATACGGACCACAGGTCTCTCCAGTTTAACTCTGCCTTTGAGGCGTTCCATTATTTTCTCTGATATCTGACCAGAACCCCCTTTAAACTTCCTCTCCTAAAAAAACAAAGAGAAAAGAAACACAAACAAAAAGATCACCAGCATTAATCACAATGACAATGAATATGACATCGAATATGACATCTGGTCATAATCAAGAAACTCCAAGCCAAATCTGCAAGTCCTAAGGGAGCATAAAGAGGCCCAGACTTTCAGAAGAGCAAAGACATAAACCTCAGCTTCAGTGGGGATTGCCACCTAAGCCACTTTTGCAATGGCTTCCTCAATTAGCTGGCTTAAAGACTCTTGAAGCCTAGAGAACAAACACACACAATGCAGGTATTTTAGATACTATAAACATATAACTTCATTTAAAAGAAGTTTTGAGTATTTTACCCACCACTGCGCCACCAAAACCCTCATGTGTGACAAATGGATCAGCTGGATCTGTACAACAAAAGCCTGCACCCAGCCCAGAAACAAGACAGATCTTTAACCGGGTCTGGCCTCAAGTGCAGCAGGCAATGTGCTTTATCTGTCCTTGGGAAGACACAGAGACACTGCTGTCTGGAAAAAAGCACAATCTGTGACACATATTTCCTTGCCATGTCTGTGCAGATGCTCAGGGGAAGCACTAATCCTCTTTTATCTAGCAGCCACCAGCATTATATCAAGCAGCTCACTTTTACATATAAGATGCTGCTACTGTCAGGGAGGTAAGGATCCACAAAGTCTTGTATTGAAAGACTGAAATGGCTGCTGGAAGAAGTTTCTGGAAGACTCGTTATGGCTGCTAAGTTAGAAACCCTTAGTGGTTTTGCTCAATTGGTTGTGACTGGAGTGAGGGGAGAAGTAAGGATGGTAGCTTGCCCCATCCAGGCACAAAGAAAAAGAAGTGCTAACAAAGGATGCTGACATAACACATCCAAATTACTTTGTCATTGTAAATCTCCCCTTTTCTGAAGCTTCATCCAGAACAATCACATGAAAACTATGATGCTCTGCAGGCAACCAGGCACCTGCCAAGGTGAGAAACAATCTGAAGTAGCTCATAAAACATGCTGCCATGTGAGCTCTCCCAAAAGGAGAGGCCCTTTGCTATCTACTTCCAACTCTTGTCATTAGAGGATTCAATGCAAAAAAAAAAAGTATTTCACTCTGAAGTACACTTGTTTTGAACTCTGGAAGACATTAAAATATGCTAAGTAACCCATAGAAAACAAATTGGCAAAAAAGCAACAAAACAGCAACAAAAGGACTGTGCTGAAGTGAATTCAGGAAAAAACAATTTATCCCAAAGCCTAGCTAATTAAATTCCTCATTGTACAGAGTTAGCCAAGAGGGCTGTTCCACCCTATGAGAACACGACTGTCTCCAGCGTCACATGCATTTGCTCTTTTGTCCTCTTTTCACTAACTGCAGGGCTTTGAGGTGTACAACACTCCACTTGTACTTCACGGTTTCAAGAGAGGAGGAAGAATGAGAGACATTTTGTACCTGGCCCCCATTGGTGATTGAGAAAATCCTGGCTGTGCCCCCACACTGCCTCACGTACCACAGGAACCAGAGCGCGGAGACTTCATGAGGCTCAGACGTGACGTTAACGTTCACAAATAAGGTGGCAAACTCTTTAGCAGCTCTGCATGAGACACAGGAGCAGACAGACAGTGAGTAAATGTGTTTCTGACAGCTTTCAGGACTTCCTTTGTTATTCTCAATAAGGACTACTTTCCCAAAGTCAGAGAAGCCGAGATGATTTATACCTGTCTCATTTTTTACTCTGTGGTGAGGCTGTTGAATGGGTTTACATCAGCACCTCCCTCCCTCCCAAAGCATTTCCCCATTCCATTTGAAATCTCACTGATTTCACCTTAGTTATTTCTTTGAATACTTTCCCAGCTGCATTCCTTTTATTAGAGCAAATATTTTTCTCAACAGAACAATGCATTCGGTAACTAGTTAGTGAAACTCTTCTGCATTTCCCCTCCATGGGGAGCTCATCAGGCACATAATTTCCAAGGTCTGGTAGGTCCCACAGGACTCACCTAGCCACACATCCAAGACACTCCCCCATCTCCCATGTAACACTGCTGCACAGACCTTTTGTGAGACCAAGAATCAGACATGTTAAATAACCCACAGAAACCAAACAGGCAATCGTTGCCATAAATATAAGGAGAGGGTCAGCTGTCTTCTGCAGTAAGTCCTGTGACCTTAGAGTTACTGCAGCAGGAAATGAGGACCTGGCTACTCGCATTTCTTTCATTTGTGGCTACAGATTGCTAAGAGAATTCAGATCATTTTGCAAAGAAGGTGAAAGGTCGTTGACTTGGATGAAGTTTCATAAAACAACATGAATTTATAATCACCTGCTAAAGGAAGGAACTTTGCAAGTTATCTGGACTAAAGTATGTAACTTTTATAACCTCATTTCCCTGGGTATGACGTCCAGTCACACCCATTTCATTAGCCAGGATACGAAAGGATCCTAAGTGCAAGAACCCTCTACCACAATCCTGAAAGCACCAAGATACTAAAGAGCTGCAGCAGGTTCAGGCTTGAGAAATGTGAAGAGAGTCTCCAAGATCAGTAGATGCTGATCTGTGACACATGACAAATGGATCTTCTTTTATAATCTCGACCCAAGTCACATAGAAAATGCTGTGGAAGAGCTTTTCTGTTTAGGGCACTATGCTTTTTAAATATGTGTAGAAAAATCTGACTTGGCTTGAAGATCTAAAATGGCTTTTTACTGAGTTTTTGAACCTGTTTCAGCTGAGCACATCCATTAAAACTGGAGTGCCACAAAACGACTGGCAGTAGAAGCAGTCTTGCAGAGAAGCGTGTTACAGGAGAGATCACTATAAACCCAGTTCTGCTTATACTCCACCAGCTTCCTGACTAAGAGAAACAGCAAAAGCTTGAATAGGAAGAGGAGTGCCCTTGCAATAGAAAGGGTAGTTCAAAGTAACTGAGTTTGCAGGCAAATGGCTCATAAAACTAATTGCAAAGAAAACTACAATGCCACAGACAGCAAGAGAAAGTCCAAATGGCCATACCTTGTATCGCATAGAGCTGGAGAAAGATTTAAGCCAGTAAAATAAATTTCAAACAGAAAGTTTTGGTCAGAAAGCTGCAGGCACAGTGCTAAACCACTGTCAGAATGAAAGGACAAAGAGAGCACAGCCGCACAAATAAAAGACGCTGAACGCATGGGAGGAGAGCGTTACAGAATAGCACTGGGGTCGGCACAGCAAGTGGGGACACAAGTGCTCATATGAGCACACTTCTCTTTGCCTTATAAAGAGAATTAATTGGAAAGGGAAAGGAAGAAAAAAGTATTTGTCGTCACCTCATATTGAACATTGTTCCTTTTTTTTTCATTCATACAGTGTGGTCCCTCATAGACATATAAAACACACTGGCCATTTTCTAGGTGATACAACACCGTGGGCTCTCTTCCTACCAACCAGGTTTGATGCTCTGTTGGACCTGCTACTCACAAACAAGGAAGACCAGTTGGATGATGCAGAGTTGAAGGGCAGCCTTGGCTGCAGTGGCTGTGAGACTGTGGAGTTTAAGATCCTGAGAGCAGTAAGACAAACAGCAGAATTGCAACCTTGGATTTTGGAAGAGCAGATTTTATCCTCCTCAAGGACCTGCTTGGCAGCATCTCATGGGAAACTACCTTGCAGGGCAAAGAGGTCCAGGAGAGCTGGCTGGAATTCAAGGACATCTTCCCAGGAGCAAAGGGAGGGTACACTGCAATGGGCAGAGCTAAGCAAGTGCAGCATCAGGCTTGCTGGGATGAACATGGAGCTCCCAAATGGGCTCAGAGACAAATCAGCCAGGGAACTGAAAGGCAATGAGAAAGGTTGCCTCAGCTGCCTGGTTTCCCTCCAAGGGTTTCAGAGCCCCAGAAGGCATAATTGCTGAAACAAGGAATAGCATTTGAACTTCTCCAGAGTTTCCAGAACCAATAGCTGCTCACTCCCCCCTTCCTGGGATCTCATGCTGCCCCATCCACTGAGAGACCACTGGAAAGCAGCTGCTTTCTGGCACGGTGTGCTTCACTCCAATGTGCCAGTGGCACCTGCCTGCTCTGTGGTAGATGCAATGCAGCTCACGCAGTAAAAGCAGATACATACGATAACTGCAGGAGTGGACACAGCCAAGAGTTAGAGGACATTGCTCCTCAACTCCTAGCCTGCTATGGGGCTGGGGAAGCCCCCTCACCTCCTTCTGCCTCCATTTCCGTGCCTACAAGTGACATTTATTCATGACTATAAAGCAGAGTTTTATTTACATGTTGCTTTTTCTAAAGACAAAGGCACTCACTCTCTAACTGAGTGAAGTGAAAGCACGGTGGGAAGAGCCCACACTGTCACTCCTGTGTGCACAGGCCCACTGAGGCAAACCCCTGGTTTCCCTAGCATCTTTAATCCCACCTGCCAGCCAACCCAAGCTCTGCAAACCACTTTAAGCTCCACAGGCCATCACCCACCATCTGACAACAGCCTACCATAAACAACAGCCTCATCTCAAACACCTCATGCTCTCTCACCACCTGTACCCTAGCTGTACTCAGCTGTACCCTAGAATTTGTCAGGGAACCACTGTCATTCTGCAGCTGAACTTAAAAGTGAATAAAGAGTTATTTACTTGGTATAGCAAATCTTATCCATCAGCTCTTTCATGGTCATTTTGTCCCATTCTTCAGCATGTGGAGCATCCCATGGTGCTTCAGGAGGAATCTGGAAAGAGAGGCAAAATAGCTAAGAAATTATTCAGTACTACATCACTGGCTGGTCATAGCTAATTAGTAGCACACAGTTGATTTATATGTTGTCCAGGAGTTGCTTTTGTTCCCTGCACATGGCTGTAAATTTGGAATAAACTCACTAAATGGAATAGTTTCCATTCATAACTTAGGGCACGAATTGCACCATGACCACTAAACCTGACTTTGTCTGACCAAAGAACTATATCCATATGTTGAGACTCATCTGGCCTTTAATCATCCGGAAGTGAGGTGTCATAATTTAGTTGTCTTGGTATCCTTTAACAGCTGAGGGAAAAATTTTTCTTCCAGTCAGAGATTCAGTCAGTCGCAAGATGGGTATCCAAAGGCTGCTATGTCTGTTAACTACAGAGGGAGCAAAAATGGCTAGATACTATTAAATTATTTTTAGACAGTTAAATTCTTAATGTACCATGACATGCAAGGACACTATCATATATTTGAATGTTTAAAAATATGTATTGTTTGACAAAAAAATGTGTAGTATCATGCACAAATTTGATTCTGCAAAACCACATAAATCTGATTAACTTTGCAGGAATACGGTTAGCTGTGCTTGAAGGTTATTGTAAGGTATGACCCCTGGTTTGTAGCCAGATTATAAGGCAACTGATAAATATTTAAAAGGCAGCACGATGCTCCAGGGGCTACTTTTTGCACACAGGAAGACCTACAGTTATACTGTGTGCACTTTGAAGCCATTTACTGTTTAAGAATTTTAGAAATAAAATTTTAGAAATTAAATTAATATGAAACCACATTGGAGCCTAGCTTAGGCAGCTACAAAAAAGAATCATCCTTACTCAAAAAGGCTGTCACAAAAGAAGGAAAAAACCCTTCTTATCTACCAGCTCATGGAATGGTTTTCCCTGGCATGAGAAAGTACATACACTGCGGTTCAACAAAATTTTTTCAGATATCGGACACCTTCAGATCACTTTGTATCCTCACAGAATCATAGGATGGTTTGGGTTGGAAGGGACCTTTAAAGGTCCTCTAGTCCAAACCCTCTCAGTGAGGAAGCCCTGTTATTGCTGATAATTCCTGTGCAACATAGATATCTTTCCTGATGAATGTTTCTTTTATATATTAAAGAAGCAGTAAAAAAGCCTGCCAGGAACAAAACAAAGCCAAACCAGATTTACTCATGGTGACATGAGTGTTGTAGGAAACAGATGCCATTCACGAAGCCTACCTCTTTTCCCATCTTGTCCATGGTCCTCCAGAAGTTATTGTAATCCAGATAAACTAAGGGATTCCATGTTGAAGGGGAAATACCCGTGAAGCAGCGTGACTTTCCCTAAAATACACATAAAAATACAAGCAACTGAAACACAACAGAGCATATCTTCCCTACTCAAGAACACAAAATTCTCAAAGTCATCACATGATTGAGCTTTACGCCCAGAAGATCTATTCTTCTTACTTTTTTTTTTCTGCATACGCACGTAAGTGATGGAATGCATAAAGCTAAGTATGAGGGGAAAAAAAACCAAAACAGTTGGGCTGACATTAAAAAGGACAATAATACATTTTTTATTTGGAGGGAATGGGGAGTGGTACATCTGTTCTGAGCAGGTTGTCAAATTCTGGGCTGAGGAGACTCAAGCAATGGCCAAGGAAGTAATATTCCTTGTTCCTAAGCATTCTTCATTATTACGTATGAACGAACCTAATGTTTGTCTGCCTGCTGAAATATATACCCTAAAATTTGCATGGGTCTGAAGTTGCATACATTTTAAACTTTAAACTGTCTACGCACCTTTAAGGTACACCTTACCCATAAAATGCAAACATACCTATTATGCAAAGTACCTTGAAAGAAACTTAGCCTGAAAAAAAAAAAAAGGAAAATTTGCCAGAAATAAACTTTTTGGCTGAAGGAAGAAAAATCTCATACGCTTGCAAAAATGGTGTCAGCACTTACATACAATGTGTATGACACATTGCTGCAACAGGAGTATGGACTGTTTCAGATCATCCTGTGATATAATGATAAGCGAAACAATCTAACAGCAGCTGGTTCTTTGTGATAACTTTAATCTGAAAGAGGACCGGATAAGCAGGCAACATTTTCTCTTACTGAATTGCTTCTAACCTTCCCCTGTGTAAGTCAACAGCAATTTTACATCAGACCTCTTAAACGATTGCTCTTCCAAGTGTGTTAAAAGTTTGCACGAGGTCACATGGCAGGATGCAGTGAACATGCTGGACCATGCCAGGTACGATCTGTAATACCAAGCTGTGTGCAATATGCTTTTCAGTGCAATGTATATATACCATACCAGCCCATTGCACCTGGCAGGTGGGAGTCACAGACCAAGCAAGAGTCCCCAGTGCCACAAATGCATGAGATGGTGACCCAGGGACAGGTGGACACAAAGCAGGAGCCAGATGCACCTTCCCCACACTCAGCCACAGAGAATTTATTGGTCTTCCCCACTGGTAAATTTTGTGCATGTGTAAATACATACAGATTTTTTATATTCTTCAGAACACTTTTCTGCAAAGATCATAACAAAAATAAAAGGCGCAAGATGAAACTCAGAGAACATAGTGAGCTTTCACACTAGGAAAAAATAGTAAAAAAGCCAAACTCTCACATTTTTGGTCAACTTCTGTCACCTTCAGGGCAGGTACAACAGAGGAGGCAAGAGTATATGGGTAGCCTTGCTATAACCAACACCGCTTGGTCCCTCTCTCCCCAGAGGTCGGCTGCAGTGGTGTCTCAACACTGTGCTTTACCTCCTCCTCATCTTCAGTGAGGGTGGCAGCAAAAACACTCTCCTGCTTAGTCTGGACAGAGTAATCTCTGCTCTGGGCTTAGCAAAGCACAAGGTTGTGATCTCAGCAATTAGTTCAGCTTGAGATTCATGTGTTTAAAGTTTTTTTTTTAAAAAACAAATGTTGAGTTTTCTTTCCAAGTCACCAGGATGACTCTGGAGGCAGTTGGTTAGCTCTGGATTTCTGGGTATGTAATGTTAATCTTGTGTATCACACACTTTCTTCCCCTCTCTTTTATCACTATTTCAGGCCAGTTTAGAGTTACACTGGAAGAAGCTGGGTGGGGGATTCTGCTCCAGCCTCCTCCAGGTGCACATGTGCATGCAAAACACACCTCTACCCTGGCAAGAGCAGAGAAAATGCTCCTATGAACTACCAGCATGGAAATCTTCTGCATGATACTGCCTTTTCCTTTTCCTTGAGCATGATTTACTGCCAGCTTGGAGCACTGTGTATTCAGCCAAAGAAAAGAGGACCAAAAAACACATGCAAGGTGATAGACTGCATGCCACAGCTTTTACTGTCATAAACCAATGCTGTATCAAACAAGGAAATCCTGATACAAAGCAGTAATACATAGATAATAATTTTTTTCTTATTGCACAACAACTTGTTTTTCAAAAAGATCATCAAATACTGCTCCTTCAAAGCTCATTTATTGCTAACCTTTTTATTCTGGTCAGGAATGCAAGTGCCATCAACGTGTCTTCCTTGATGTGCTTTAGCACCAATAATCCTGCCCTTAAGCAGAGATGAGGTGCAATGCTGTCAGGTCACTCAACAACAGGTAAAGATAAATGATTACTGAAGTTCTGTCATGTCAATATTGCAAGGGGACAAAGGGAAAAGATAAGCCTGCCGTTCAGGAGTAGCACAAAAAACTTCCCAAAGTTTTTCCACTGTTCAGTACGACCTCTTTTCATATAGCTTTTCGATAAGTGACCGCACTTTTACTGGTGTAACTTGTAAATAGCTATGCTTGGCTTATTTAATTAAACAAAAAAAGAAGCACTTATTTAAAAAGAAAGTAAAAAAATGTAATGACTTCTCCAACAACAAAATAAGGCTCCTCTCCTCCTCTTGTTTTCAGCCAAACCTCTTCCTTATATTGCTGGAAACAACAGCCCAAGAAAAGTCTCTCTCAGTAACTCTATGATGAGGTTTGCGCCAAAACAGCTTTTTCAACTCCCAGCGTTAACTCTACTGTGTCCAACAGCTACAGGCTGAGAAACTCCCAGACTATCCTGTTTGCTACAGATGGGGCAATTGTTGAGAAAACTCGCCCACTGCCTGGCTACCTAATATTTTCACCTCTGTACTAGCTGTAGACCACCATGACCACAAACTGCTAAGGACTGATCAAGACATCTTGCAATCTCAGCCGCTGGCATCGCATTGAATATTCCCTTATCTGCTATTTGAAAAATGAACCATCCTTTCATTACTGATCTGAAAATATTATCCCCATAGCTTTGGTCAATGGCATAGCCCAGGAAGATCAATGGGAAAACATATTTTATCCCCTGAGAACTATGAAATGCCAACTGATAATTAACAGGCTAAAGTTGCGTTATTTGTTGCTCTCTTCTGTGTGCAAAAAATCCCATAACTTCAGTAAGACTGAAGACCAAGGGCAGGAAAAGGTGGAAAAATAAAACAGTGCTAACAGACTTGGAAGAGGCTGAGACTGAATTCAGAGAGCCTGGAACAGTTCACAGACACGCTAACCCCTTGCACAGTGGGGCTGGACCTACAAGAAGTGGGACCTGATTGGGGGAAAGGTCAATTCTAACAAAGTCTAGGACAGAAGTTCCCATTGCCCACCAGAGAGTGCGAGCCAAACAGCCTTAACCACATCAGTTTTTTAACTCTCTTTCTTGCACAAGTATCTCCACAGCAGGGAATAAATCTAGCCCAATGACCTGGGGCTGGTAAGTTATTCATTTGTCTTTAATACTGTGTCCCTACTAGGCAGAGAAGCTCTGGCTGCATGTTTCACAGAGGAGCTCACTGCAAGCAGGCAAGGTCTTGCAATATTCCATTTTTAAACAAGTTTATAGTGTTCTTGGTGTATTATTTTGAGAACTACTGTTTTCTTAACTGAAAGGCAAATAACCTACTGGCTTCATTCCCATGTTAACACGAGGTTCTTGACTGACCCACAGAGTTTATCTAATTTTTTTTCCATTTCCTAGTGTGTCGAATGTTTTCCTGGAGACCTCAGATTTGAGTCCTGCTGCCTGCCTGGATTAGTTACCCCATGGCAATCCAAAGGAAACAACATCCCCAAGCACCGTAGATCAGTGGTTTGAAAGAAGGCAGCAGAGAGAGATGTGCTCTGCAAGGTCTGTTTTTACCCTGCCCAGGGCTAGGCTGTGGCTGGGAGCCCTAACTACAGGAATGAAGCCCAAGCCACCCTCAAGTTTCAAAGAGGAGAAGACAATTTTGCCAGTCTTGAGAAAGGCAAGTCTGGCTTCTGCCTGCTGTGATGAGGACGAGCTACACATCAGAAAGTGCAGAAGGAGCATCCTTTGTGTCCCAGGGCAGGGACTGCTATTGTCCTCAGGCCGTGCACAGCACACGCAGCCAGAGCAGCAGCTCCCTACGGTGTGAGCCTGCAGGTGGGCATCCTGCCCTGCTCTGCATCTCCAGCAAGTCTAAGCCTTGTGGACATTGCAGTGCCTCAGACTGTGATTCCAGTGTCCAAACTGCAGACTTAGAGTGCGATCTGCATGGACTTAGTTGCAGACTTACCTGCTGGACCCTAATCTCTCAATCTTGAAGCTAGAGGAAGGAAAGGAAAGACTATATGGCCAATATGAAGCACTGCAGTACAAATGCTCATCTTTTGTCAACTGCTACCTTGCTCTGAATATCATAAGCAATAAAAAATAAGCAAAACCAGTCCATATTTACTAATGTTATGTATACCAGAGCTGGGTAATACAGCCAGATATTAGAGGAGTACAGTCATATGAGAAGGTTAACACCAAACCCCTATCACTTAAACCAAGGCCCTATCACCTTTACTTTCTAGGGTCTTCTACTAAAGAGAAGGTGAAAATGGACCACAGCATGACCTTCAAGGATCTCTGTAAGAATAAAAAGCTCTCTCTCTCTTCTGGGAAGGAAGAACTCCAGCACATCTGCCTTTTCTCAGTTCGAAAGCATTCTTGATGAATTATGGGACAGTCTCCTCAGAGCAATTTGGCTGGAAAGGAAGTCTGGGTCTCTTAACAAAATCTGCACTTAGAAGCTGCAGATTTATGACGACAGGATACAAACGAATTCCTGATTGATATCAAAGCAGTCCATGTTACCATGCTAACTGATGGGAAAGTATGAACAAATAAATAACAAAAAAGGATAAACAGTAGTTACATATTTGGATTTTTCAAGTAAACTGTAACTACAAAGGAAACCTGCCCACATGAAGCAACGTGGTCTTTAAAGCCTGCAGTACATGGGATTTTTCCACGCACATATGGGAAAAATTCCTTTCAGAGCAAAGAAGCTCATGAAATCCCTCCAGGGATTTTCACTTTCCCTTGGCTGCTTCTGCTGCTAGGATAAACCATTTCCCCTATTTCAATCCAAGCAGTACCTTGGAAGTCTTCAGAAAGAGCCAAACTGAACCAATTAGTATGGTAAATATAAGACCAAAAATCTCTTAATCTGAGGATGCTGGAGGTTACATAGAGTTGAATGACTGTCATAACAAAATCTGATGCCATGTTTAGTCATTCCTCAAAACACTCTACCTCTCGCCTCTGACAAAACCGCACAGCACTGTAGACTCTGAAGAAATGCCCTTGGGAAGAGATCTTCCTGCCTGACCCCAGGTACATGCTCTCCGACAGCCATCAGCTGACAGAAACAGCAGACGAGACACAAGGAGAAAAGTTCCAGTCATATGCAAACCTGAAAGGCAGCAGCTTACCCATAGCTGACAGTGTACTAGTCCAAGAAGCTGAGCACATCCATCTTTCAGATTAATATTTAATTTCTGGGGCAATGATTCTTTAGTATCAAATCACCTCTTTGCTAACACACAAAGGTATTCACATCCCTGGAGTATCTTTAATGAATATGAGGGGTGCATCTGTAGCTAGGAAGGCACAAATCACTACCCAGCCAATTCACCATTGCAGCATGGTAACAGCGTGCAGCGAGTAGGTAAAACGTGCAAGCCCTAAGGGCCCTGAGCACTCACCAACCCAGCCAATAGCCAGGACCACACAAACGGTTTTCAATAGGCTACTGGGATGTAAGGGAGGGTTCAACAAGAGATTCCTAAAACAAAGGGCACAGTGACTACACAATGTCTCAAGGAGAGAGTAAGAAGCAGCAGTGGAGAATCAGGGAAAGGAAAGAAATCAAAAAGCCTACAATTCATGGGAAGAGGACGTGGGAGGAACAAGACCTACTGAAGAAAAAGCATCATTATTATTTATCCAATACTTAAGCCTGTCAATGCTGGGAGACCTGAAAACCCCTTTGCTGTTACCCTGGTTCAACAACAACACTTGGTTATCTTGGCAGGACCAAATCTAGAATTGATCCCCATCCTGTGATCCAGCTAAACAGCTGATAATGCTGCCTCTTGTTTAGGAGCATTCTTCCACTTCAAAGAAAACTTACGAAATTACATGGTCATTAGCAAGGAGATGCATAATGTAATGTGGAACAAAAAAGACTGCAGCTTCAGTGTCAAAATGGATTAAGGGCTCAAATTCATGTAACCCATTAGAGCCTTTTATTTAACATACAGAAGATAAGTGCCTTTTAGGATGCTAAGAGATCCATGTCTGAGCTTAAATTATATAGAGTGGTCCAAACATTCAGTTGGCACAAATCAGCCCAGCTCTTTTGCTGTAGAATACCAGGTGGTGTAAAATAACTTTTTTAGTACTATGGAGTCACTATGCAACTATTTAAGATGCGACTATTTTATGAGCACGGCATGAATCTGCCCAGTAAGGAGAGGTCGGAACCAGATGATAAAACTTTGCAGCATGAATGCATTGCTCTAATTCTTGGAAGAAAAAGTGGGAAGATGACAGAAATTAAACCAGTTAAGGATCCATCACATAGCCTTGCCTCTATCAAGTATGTCAACTGTGGCTCATACAAGCTTCAAGCCTTGTTCTGCCAGAGGCTAGGAAGTACAAAAACTAAAGGATATTAAAAAAAAATCAAAAAGTGATGGTCTTTAGAAGGTAAAGTAATTTGTGAGTTATGGAGACAGACGCTTGTACCTCATACCTATGGATTTTAGGCTTCAAACAAGTGCTTACTGGATTACTAAAAGTGGGTTTAAATGAAACCTCCTTAATGACTGTCAGTAATTCCCAAAGCTCAATTATACCTTTGTGTATCTCAACATGAAAGACAATACTTACCCCCTTATAATGCATCATATGACCTTCGACATTCACTTTATAGGTCTCAACACCCAGCTCTTTTGCCAGTCGGAGAATCCGGTTTTGTGTAGGTCCCACATATGATCCACCAACATCCACGTAATTAACTTGTTCATTCTGTCAAAGAAAGAATACAGTAATCACAAGCTATGCAGGAAGCTCCTCAGTGCAAATACCTAGAAGTAGAAAGAATTATTCTATACTGACTAGCACTGCAACTAGATGCACAGGAGAAAACGTGCACTGACTGACTTAAAAGTAGGCTGTATTGAGCTCTGTAATGACAGACACACAGACATCACAGTGTCTTCGCACCATCACGTACATGTGTACAGTTGGGTATAACCCTTTGTTTAAATTTCACTATGGTTTCCAGTATTGGCTTTTTAGTCTCACAAAAGACAAGACATATGAAGGAATATCCGACCAAATCAATACTTTGGTTAAGTCTAACCCCACTTCTTTAGAAATGATGTTACTTTTCTTGCCATTGCAAAACATTTCTCAAGTTGAAACCATCTCCAGCACCAAGGCTTGTTTTCTCTCTGTAGATATTTGCTTAGACTTAATGCTGTAGACGCTGAGCACTGCACTGCAGTATTCAAGGAGAGTAATCTCCTTTCCAGCACAGCACACCTTGGCTGTAGTCTGGTGCACTGTGGCTAGCAGTCCCCCAGCCATGCCTGCCACCAGAGGTGCTCCACATACCCCTCAGCCCAGCATTGTGCTCACTTGGGAAGCAGGAAGAAAGCAAAAAGTTTTGGGGATGTACGCTATTACAAGCAGGCTGATTTCCCAAGATAGTAACTCTTTTTAACACTGTTTATAGTGAGCATTTTAAGCTAGGCATTCTCAGTGTCACAGAAGGATGGTGTTTATGCTTCATGTTTCACTTACAATGATTTCTGCTGGAACACTACCGTTTATCTCTGGTTCCCCAGCAATGGTATCTGACATAATTTAAACCTCCTTGACTACCAGGGTGGGAAACAGAGGTAATGTCTGTATCACATTACCCTGCACCACAGGTGACTTGTAATTTCATTTTCTTTTTAATGGCAATCAAGACATGGTCCATTTTTAGAAGCAGGAGTGTTATTTCAGATAATTTGAAGCTGTGTTAAAATGTATGTGCGAGCTGTAACAATGCCTGGCCCTGCTCAGGCTGCTTCTCATAGGGTTCTTAGGTAGAGTGTGCAAGGCAAGATGGGAATGAGAGAAGGAATGCTTTGACACTCATAGTATTAGATGAGAGTTTTCCTCTGTAATGTTCAAGGCAGAGCAGATCCTGCCATGGACAGAGGGTATGGACTATGTGGGTGGAATTAAATTACCTTAATACAGATGTTTAACACCATTTTACACAACCCAAGGTATCGAAGACTTCTGTGCAAGGCTGACAAATGTGACTCACGACCCACAGAAGACTGGCAGCTGGAGGCCAGGCAAGGTATCTTAAGGCAGCTAAAATGGCACTACACACTTCTGGTTAGGCAGCAAAATCCCATTTGATGGCTCTCAGAGTTGCTTCCAGACCAATTTTAAAGCACCTCCTGTCAAGAGAAACTCACTGGCAGATATTGCAACGCAATCTGTCCAAATAGAGCTCTATTCCTTGACAAAAGTAATGGCAATGTCTTCTTTGGGAACCTTACTCTGCCCCTTCCCCTGACTAATGATGTCAAACCCAATAGAAACACCCAATGGTTGAAGTCAGAAGGGACCTCTGGTGGTCATCTGGTCCAAACCCTCCTGCTCTAGTAAGGTCACCTAGAGGCAGTTGGCCAGGACCGTGTCCAGACAGCTTCTGAATATCTCCAAGGAGGAGGACGACACAACCTCCCTGGGCAACCTGTGCCAGGGCTCAGTCACTCTCGCAGTAAAAAAATGTTTCCTAATGTTCAGATGGTTCGAACCTTTTGTGTTTCAGTTTGTACCCATGGCCTCTTGTCCTGCTACTGGGCACCACTAGAAAGAGCTTGGCTCCACCCTCTTTGCACCTTTCCTTCACTTCCTTCTATACACTGATGAGATTCCCCCTCAGTCTTCTTTCTCCAGGCTAAAAAATTCCAGGTCTCTCAGCCTTTCCTCACAGGAGAGATGCTCCAGTCCCTTCATCATCCAGATCACTAATGAAGATGCTGAACAGGATTGGACCCAGTACTGAGCCCTGGGGTACACCATAAGTTACTAGCCTTCAACTAGACTTCATACCACCAATCACCATCCTCTGGACCAGGCTGTTCAGCCAGTTTTCAGTTCATCTTGCTGCCTGCTTAACCTGCACATACTTCATCAGCTTGTCTATGATGATCTTACGCAAGACAGTGTCGAATTTCTGAAGTCTAGGTAGACAATATCCACTCTTCTTCCCTTATCTACCAAGCCAGGTTATCAGGTTGGTCAAGCAAGACTTCCTCTTGTTGAATTCATGCTGACTGATGACTTTCTTGTCCTTCATGTGCCTGGAAATGGTGTCCAGGATTAGTTGCTCTATCAACTTCCCAGGGATTGAGTTGAAGCTGATTGGTGCGTAATTCCCTGTTCTCCTTCTGGCCCTTCTTGAAGATAGGGGTGACATTTGTCATGTCATAGACCAACACAAGTGAGAGTCCAGCATCTCATGAAGGACTTACCCTGATAGTGAATGTCCTTCCTCCGACTCTGTTCCGGGCCTCAAGAACCACCACGCTGACCCCAGACTCAGACAGCAATTTGGCAGCCGACAAACCTACCAGAAAAAGAGAAAGTGCTTTAAAGCAAGTGGCAGCAATCAACCTCATCAGTAGTCAAAAACTGAACCAAAGCTTCAAGGTCAGAGATTTCAATCTTGTTTTCAAAAATTCCTGAGAGAAGTCAGAAATTTCTTATGGTGTCTTACCACAGAAATCATGTGGCTGCTGCTTCACTGCATGCTATAACCATCTCCATAAGCAGCATTCACAGACCAAAGTTTCCTCCACCAGGTTAGCATTTTAAAAACAGTAAAATCTCAATTATTAAGGGACAGATATCTTACTCTTCATTTGTGCAGTGCACAGAAAGGCAGAACGCAGCTTGTAGGGCTTGCAGCACTGAAGTGATAGAAATAATAATGTACTAAATATTCCACTACTCCAGCAAGGCAGGCTTCCGAATTCTCTCATTCATCAACTTTCCACTCTGCTGCTATCTGTTGTCCTCATTCACATGCAGAAAGAAAGTCTGCTTCAGTGTCAAGATTCATTTTAAGCAATGGAGTCTGACCATGGCAATCAAACAGGCTGCATGCAGATACTTTATAAAAGGAATTATGGTCTCAGCAAAAATTATCTAATTACAGGTCTTTGTGGTGGAGGCACTAGAGACAACTGAAAATTCAATAGGACAGGAGTCCTCTTTGCTCTTGACAAATGTGAGCTGAAATTGTAAAAAGCAATCATGAGTTTGTGAAATCAGATTACCCCATTGCCCTGAAGGCCAATGTGGCACTGAAGCGTTGTTTCTTTGGGCTTGCTTCCCCTCTTTAAGTATACGAAAGCCAGCCTTATTGATCAGAACTTCCAAGATACCCTGCAGTAAGGAATAATAATATTATATTCATGTTTATTACACTACCTTGAAATGTGATTAAAAGCAACTGTTTGTGAGTCTACAAAGAACGTATGTCTGAAAAGACCAGAGGAGAGGAATTGTTCTGGGCAGCATTAAGTGTACTCATTTATTCTGAGGAAAATACAAAATAGCCCATAAACTTCTGTGCACATAATGTTTTAATGGGGAAGTGGAACACCATTCACTGGAAATCAGAACAGAGGAAGTTCAAATGTCTTACATTGACAAAAATAATATAGATACGATTTCCATACTCATCTAAAAATAACTACATCCCTGCACCATATTCTTTAGATTGCTGCTAGAGCAGAAGTATACTTAATTCTCCCTTCTATGTAATATTCTAATTTTTTAAAATGCAAGCCCATTTGTCAGTGCACATCTTATAAATTGATCTAATTTCTTTCAGTAAGTTTGATTATTTTTTCTGCATGAAGTCTACAGAGAATATTTTACATTTTTTTATTATTAATTCTACAATCCTCTCAGTGATGGTGTTCTCTTCTTCCTCAATATAAACATAGAAGACACAAATCTGTAACACTGGAGTCACAAACTGCAGTATTTTCTTACAAATATTTATATTTTTTTATATGAGGAAAAATTATTTTTCAAAATATACAGTGCTTTTTGTCACAAACATGTGGATTTGCTACACACACAAAATAAAAGGTCAAATTCCTCTATTCTGTGTACTGTGTATTCACTGGACACTCAGGCATGAGAAAGTTTACTGTTGATATATAAGACTTGAAAAAATGCACAGTGCATTCATGTGTTACCCTATGGAATATAAAGCAGCAAAAAATCTGGCCTAGGTATGAAAAAAAATTGTATGCAAATCCTCAGTGCCTAAGACTGTCACTTAATGCTGCATACGATAGCTGTATCCATGCCACAGCAGCTTAGGAAGAATAATTGTTGCATTGGTCTGGGTTGGAAGTTAAGCTTACTACTGGTTGATAGCTTAATTATCTAACATATCCAAATAAAGAAGGACTGCTAAAGGATGAATAACATGCGGTAATGCAACTGAGGTTCTCTGATCTGTTTGCTTGTTTAACTCTACTTCTTGCACTCCAGCCTTACAGGTTTTTAGTTTCATTATTGTTAACCCACGTGTCATCATAGATATTGATCCACAAAAAAACAGAAACCAAACCAAACAAACAAAAAACAAAAAAAACCCAACCAAACAAAAGGCTTCAGAGCTACACATACTGGGAAAGGGCAAGAGATACATTGGGACAGTGATGACTTCCTGGCAATTGGGAGAGGGCCTGACTCAGAAATAAAAATAATGCAAAATATGTTGATTAAAGATTGTTAGTACACATTTATTTGTTTAAACCATGGAAACAATTTTCTTTCAAAATGGAGGACCAGCCATTCCTGTGTTCCCCCACACAGGATATCTCTATATAGGTGTCTACTGAACCCAACTCTTTAGCTCCATTTTGGTGTGACCGAAGTGTACCACAGGTGCTTCCACACCCTAAGCACCCCACAGGCCATGAAGCCTACAGGCTTTTGATACATAATTAACCTCTAAATAGATGGCATATTTTCCCTTTATCTTCTCTATAACTTGAATTTTCAAGACTTTTGTCACTCTTCCAGTACCCTCTACAGGACTGGAAACCAGAGCGGTGACCAGGTGGATATGAGCACTTCTCAGGCTGCATGGAGGTAACCTCTCACCTCCACTCCAACATCTCCACTGCTTCCCGTAAGGACATCTTGCACCTTCCAGGAGCTGCCAAGCAGGTGGGCAGGACCTTTATACCACCAAGGGCCTCCCACAACTAGAGCCATGGCCTTCAGCCACATGTGGTCTCTGACATCAGCCACAGCATCCTGTGGTTCTGTGGATATCCACAGCGTCCTGCGAGCACACTGTACCAGGCCAAACCAAGCGCTGGGCTGTGACCTCTCAGCCCACAGCCAAGGTATTTTAAAGCCGAGGTATTTTAAAACACATCTATGTATGCCCATATGACAGCAGCACAGATGTGCCTGTCACAGCCGATGCCACTGTCATGCCCCATTGCCTCCTCCACCTTCTCCAAGGGTAGCCTAGAGATAAAGCTGCAAACCACCCCAAATCACTGGCCATGCTCCTTCCAGATATCACTCTAATTCTATGAATTAGAAATACACTACTTGCCTCAGAAAGATGAAAGAAGCCTGCTAAAATCATGCCTCATTTGAAGTAATATGGTGGTAGAAATTCACTTCTTATTAGATGAGAATAAACAAGGCTAGATGACTTATACATACTCCACAAGGGTTTCTATGGCAATCTCACACCAAGCTCCCCTTGCCTGAAGATGTCATGAAAGAAAGCTCTATTCCTATTGATTTTACAGTGCTATTAAGGATTGAGAATTGCCACTATTACAGATCATACTGCTACTGCTTTCATTTCAGAAAATTGTCATAATTCTATCAAGCAAAGTAGTTTTAAGTGCATCAAAACACTGGATATATAGTTTAAAAAAATAAAAAAGAAACAAAGATTAATTTATGCCAATCTGCAGACTACCAGACATACACCATGGCTGGAACACAGAGATGCTGAGCAATACTGAATTTTGTATGTAGCCTGATGGAAAATACAACAAAGCATGCCTCTACCTCATGGGAAAGAAAGGTTCAACTCTACAGACAGTGCTCAAGACTGGGACTTCAGAAAACTGAGCTCAGTTCCCAACTGAGCATCATAATGTGGGAAATGTTTCCCTGTTTTGTAGGAAAGCATTTATAAGACTAGCATTTCTGAAACTAATTCCAAGTTGTCTCAATATTGGGGTTGATACAGGACTTATGAGCAGATATGAGTTATGTAGCGCCAATTTTTTTTTAAAGTTCCTTTACTGGAATTGTGATAGTAATTCTCTAGTAACAGTATAGTGATTCTGCTTTTCAAAAGCAAAGCTCTGTAAATCCAGTATATCAAACAGGTTCACTGATACACCATGATTGGAAGCAAATATCACCAGAGAAAGCATATCTCACATGATGCATGCTGAGCATCTCCAAAACATGCAAGGGCAGTACCCATACAGGGTAACAAAGGGCAGTAAAGGGTAGTGATGACAGTCTGATACCATTAACCCTTTAGCCTCTCAAACTGAGGCCACTATTTATGTGCCATATTGAACACATCAAAATGAAGGCAGAGAAAATTACCCGTTACTATTGAAAAGAGAGCTCTCAGCTGGTTTTCTAGATGCATTATTTGCTTACTTGATAGCTTCTCCAACAAAGTGCATTTGCCTTCTATGCATCCACTTTTGTGGTGAAAGTTTACCAAAACAAACCTAACAAAACATTATTTTGTAAAATCCTTGTAAATCTACCCTACTGTAGTAGGGATACAGTAGTGGGATAATTACATTGCGTGAATGAATACTAACGCATTATTGCAGTGTTCTAGCAGGCTTTAACAAAATAAAATAAGAAAAACAAATATTTCTAGAAGACCTCTACACTTTTCTGACATTAGCAGGAGAATAATTTTTAAACTTTTTTTCTCATAATACAACAGTAAAGTGATAAAATTGTTGATATATCCTCATTAAAGTTCCACTGTAACAGCATGCTAATGCCGTGATTATTTTTATTGTTTCCCTGGTGGAAAATGTAACTTTTCCAGACACACTTCAGTAATTAAATCTGCCAATGGTCACTTTAGAATCAGCTTTTCTTTTTAAACAATTACCTTTGCCAAGCAAACCTGTCAATAAGAGATGCAAAACATCTCTACCATGACTGTAGGGTAAAATCTCCCTTTCTTACCTCTTTCTTCTCCTTTTCTCTCCCTCCCCCATTTTATTTTTAATTTGAATTTTTGTGCATAGCGTGGTATTTAAATAAGTTTCAAAATATTGTTAAAATGTACTCTATTATGTCAGACTGACCAGAGAAATCACTAATGGCCAACAACATGCAGAAGGCTGAGAATGAAAGAACTATTTTCCTTCACAGACTAAGGATTTGAAGCTTTAAAATTGCCATTGAAAATGAAAACAAAAATAAAACTACAGCCCCTTAAATTTGCACAAAACAGAAAGAATACACAGTGCAGATCACAAGTCTACATTAATTTATTCTTCAGTATTGCCTATTGCCATAACATCACTAACTCCATTTTTCAGAAACTGTATTTTATCTTTCCATATATTTTTTTCACAATCATTATTGTAGAATACTTGATACTGGGGATGAAGTTGTGTTTATTTAATCTGTCATTTTCAGGTAAACATTTCTCATTTCTTTTTCATCAATTCTTTTTTTCCTCTCTACCAAAATCAATCCATTTGGTTCAGCAAAGATTTCAACGTAAAGAGAATAAATATTTTCTATTGTCCAACTGAGACTGAGCCACTTTAACCAGTTTCAATGGTCCTACTGTCTAAACAGTTTCAACAGATGCAAGCCTTGTTCTGAAGGGTACAAAGACATTTCTCATGGGCAGTGTTAACAGAAACACAGTGGGCAGGAACAGAGAATTGTATTCCAAGGATGAATCCACTCCTTCGTATACACCCACTGGGATTTTCAAGCCCAAAGCCCATTGCAGTAAACATCTTTCCACAGCGTAAGGCCCTCACCCAAAAAAAAGGCAGGGAAAAAAGTTAACTAGTGTAAGCATGGGGTTAGAAATGCAGCATCCTCCTTCCCCTTACATATTAAAATGAGTAGCATCAGTTAAGATGACGATAGTTTGATACTATCTAGTTTAATGGAAACATCTAAGGTAACTACACACATATTCTAACTATCGATAATTGTTTTGGTCAGTATGCAGAATAAATTAGCTAAACCGTGATCCGCAATTAAATAAGTATGTGAAAAAATGTTGCTGCTAAACTACGATCAATGTCACTGCCAAGACGGCAGCATATCAAGAGCACTGGCACTGGTATTCCCAGGAAAGATATAATGCCTGTAGTGTGCCAGTTTTGGTTCTGCTAGGATATTTAGAAATCTATCTTAACTACTTGGCTATTTCTTTTGCTCGCTGGAGTACATAACAGTCTTAAGACTTCAGACCTAGCTAGTTAACAGGAGTACTCTTCCCTACCTTTCAACACCTTTCACCTAACCCCGATGTGTGGTGCAAAATAATGGACAAACTATAAGTTACAGGGCTCTCTGAGAAGCTCTGAATTTTCTAACCTATGAATCATGCCTGTGTACATTTTGTTTTTACCAAAAACAAACCTGATACTTTCTTCATTCAGGAGCAGAACTAGCTGAGACTATTAAGGTTACTCCCTGCGTTAGACAATGTTTATAAATGATGCATTTACTGTAGAAAACCACATGAAGAATATGATGAAAGATGAAGAAAACAGTATTTCTACATCTGGTTATATAATCAACATATCACAACTATATTTTGGCCAAAACTAAACATCTGGCACTAAGCTTAACACAAAGTACTCTCTTAACCAAAACCCAAACCCAATGTCATGAGGTTTTGCATCTCTGGTAGCAAAACATTAGAACACATAATGAAGAAGGCAGCAAACGGAAACTGGTATTTCTGCTTATTTGTGAGTATTGTACATAACATCCATTACGATTTATACAGGGGTCTGATTGTTTTGTCCTTGCTATAAATTATTCTCATAACAGCAGTCAGCTTGCTAGCAGTACATAGGGAACTGAGAGCTCTGTGAAACTTTGCTATTTACTTCCGCACCCCAAAAAATGGCTTATAGGAATTTCTGGTACCAAGTGACAATATTATCATCAATTATCAGCTTTCTGGTTGGATCCAGTAAGAAAGCAGGAAGGAACTACGTAGCTGGAGCCCAGCACAGGGCAGATGTAAAGAGATAAACACAGGACACATTTTAGGAATGAGCTATTGCATTCCTACAGGTCAAATTCTGGTCAAATTTAGAAGTAACAGTAGAAAAAAATCTACTGAAACTACTCCTGATTTACACAGGTGGGACTGACTATATCTTCTACCACTAACTGTGTATTTGACAGTTTATCTGGCACTACCACCCACCAGCAACTTGGCATGCTGTCAAAACAAACAGAGCAGTATACAACATAAGTTGTGCTCCCATTATAGCAAGCAAGGAAAATCTGCATTTCCTCATTACTCAGTCTTTCACTCAGAGACCACAGCCAATGCGTAGGTAGCTCAAGTGAGCACACTGTAGAGCAGGAGATGCCAACACATAGCGGTCTTCCATAGAGAGTGGGAAAAAAAGCCTTAATAGTTTATCATATGTTTTATTTCAATATAAAGACTAATTACTACTTATTTTACAACTCAGTTCCTCCTACAATTTGTGGCCCTTGGACCCCTCCATAAGTGAAGCAATAGAAAACAGCACTGTTTCCTGTGTCCGGCTGGCAAATCTAAGCATCTGTTTTGTTGAGCCATGAGATCTCCTTGTTTTGAGCTAAGAAGAACTGTGGTTTTATTTGGGAATAAGAAACATCCATGCCAATGAATTATAATCTTCAGTGCAAGTTTCCATTATGGCTGTGTTTCCCTTGTGCTTTGTACTTGTAACACAATGTGCTGAAATTTCTTCCAAAAGGTATTCGCATACAAGTTCTCTTGGGCTTGCCCGCTTCTGGACAAACTTCTCCGTATCTGATGAGTCTCTGGTTTGCACTATGTAGACAAACTTTCTAAATTCTCCGTGCCTTCTCTTGATAAACTGGGCTTCCAGTGACTAAAATTCACACCTAAGGTGAGGCTGGCATGCAAATGTACCCCAAGCTCCCCACTGAAAACGTTGGGGTGTTTTGCTAACATTCTTTTTTTTGTCAAATTTTGAACTATTTAAGCA